CTTCTCTTCTCTTCTCTTCTCTTCTCTTCTCTTCTCTTCTCTTCTCTTCTCTTCTCTTCTCTTCTCTTCTCTCCTGTCATCCCCTCCCTCACCCCTCTCTGCTCTCCCCTCTTGCTGCTATGCTGTGTCCATGTAGGTTCAGATAGTCTCCAAAAAGCTGGACTTCAGCCACGTCACCTCACGCTTGGGCTCCAAGGACAATATGAAGCATGTTCCTGGTGGAGGGAATGTAAGTACTGTCTGGCCCACAGTCAGAGCTCAGCGCACTGACCAGTTAGTCAAACAATTTGACAGAAGAACAAAGCAAAGATGATTTTCATCTCTTAATTGATGTTAATCGAATAAAAAAGAGCATCCAATCAAACTACAGAGTGGAACATCAACACACTGCTGCTCGTGTTGGACTCCTGGAAGTAGAGGAAACTGTGAGATATTGGACAGCATGCTAGCAAGCTTAATATGCCAGCGCTTCCCCAGAGCCCGCTTCACTCCCCTTGCTTCCTTAAACTCTTCCTGTGTTGTCCTGACCTGTCACTAACTTACTAAACCCTAGTCCAGCAAACCCACCCCACTGGCCTTTGATTGGCTCTGTCTGTGTTAAGATTGTCTGGTTCTATGAGGACCACCTGACTGGGGTCAATTTGGGATTTCTGGTTTCCTTAAAGGATGTTGTCCTGAGCTGCTTCTTTTGGCATCTGTCATGTTTTTTACCACAAGTTCAAAAGATGTTCACTTAAATGAAATGCATGGATCTTTCCAACCAGGGTTTGGTAATTGCCACATTATGGAGGATACCACAAGATGCGCTTCATTGTTGTCACTGAGATCACAGTTCTTCCTGATGGTTGTAATCGGGGTTTACCAATATGTTGTGAATTTACAAATCCTTGTGTTAAACCTCGGCCTAGCGTTTTTCTCAAACTGTTAAAAAAAAACCTTCTGTGACATCTACCAGGTGCAGATACTGAGCAAGAAGGTGGATTTGAGCAAGGTGACGTCAAAGTGCGGCTCCAAGGACAACATCAAGCACAAGCCTGGTGAGCAGGAGAACGTTGTTGTAACCCTTTGCATGGATTGTTATAATAATGGTTAACTTAATGAGACCAACTGCTTCATGCTAAATGAGGTTGTGTGAAAACTGTATCTCCTGAACATGCAAGCAGGTGTCTGCTCATGTATGTGTACAGTCTTCAGACTAATGACTTGTCTATCCTGCAGGTGGCGGCGTTGTGAAGATCGAGTCCCACAAAGTGAACTTTAGGGAAAAGGCTCAGTCCAAAGTGGGCTCCATGGACAATGTGAGCCATTCTCCTGGTGGAGGAAATATCAAGGTGAGATTATCCCTCACAGTCTGTGTGAACACTCTGACTGTAAACCAAAGCTGGCTTTTACAGTCCTGTTAATTGAAAGTGGGAGATTGAAATCGAGATCTGTTGAACATCTGTTTGTAACCAGCCAATCTCTGTGCAGATTTCACAGTCCATTAGCAACTGAGAATTCAGACACACTTCCTTCAAACTGTTGTCATGGAGCACATTTTAATAGCTAGAGACTTGTGTCCAATGCTAATTGCAGTTTCATGATAGTGGCTCCGACTGGAGTTAGTCATGATGGCAGTGAAGTGTGCGTTGCATGACTAATCCTCATCATGAAACACATAAAATGCAGCTGAGCCGATGTGTTCGGATGGAAGCAGTCCATTGCTGTGTCCCTGAGTCCCTGTGAGGATGATGATAAAACATGTACGGCTGCATATCCGTTCACAGTTAGTCTGACAATGACTGCTTGCATGTTGATGTCTTGTGTAGTAATGGTGGGAACGTGTAAAGAACTCAGCATCAAAGGCCCCGAACACTTTATTTCAATCCAAAGTATCTCTGATAATATGAAACGGAGACAACTAACTGAGCTAAAGATAATTTTTTGTTATACATCGTCACATATTGTTTATAGAATGTGTTTCACTCCAAAACTGATTGCTTCATCAGGACTGTGTGGGGGGTATTTGAATCAATCAACCCACCTGGGATCCTCATTGGATTTACCCCCACGTCGAGCAAAGTCTGCGTTTTACTTGAATTATCTGCAAATATATCGTCAGGCTGCCACATAATAAGCAGTGAACCCTGTTGGAAGACAGCAAAATGTTTCTGAGCACAGGCCTTAGACATGTATGTCATCCATCTCATCATGCTTCAAGATTTCAGTTTGAATTCGCTCCTTCTGTGAATAGGTCTCCATGGTGTGTAGCAACATGAGCCTTCTTCTGCACCTTAAATGATGTCTGAACTTTTATTTATGATTGCCAGAAGAGCCTCGATAATTCTTGAGTAGGAAAGAGGCAGAAGAAAGCAGGAAAAAAAAAAAACTTGCAAAAAAAATAAAGCAAAAATCACCAAGATGCCGATTCACACAGAACTAATGTCACCACAGGACTGCTGTTTGGGAATTAGAGGTTACATTTTTACTTCAGGTGCTTGAAATTTAAAATTGTCAACACTCCTTCTAAGCTTGGTGTTAAGTTATTACAAGAGTTCTTCAGTTTAATGACTGCAGGAGCTTGACAGTGGTTCATGTTGTGGCACCCTTCACCGAACTTTCAGGAATCTGGCTAAATGGGCACAAAACATTCATAAACGGGTATAAAACCACTTTCATTTCTGAGAATCATCTTAGTGTGAATCCTCTCAGTCGCGCCCTCTCAGACTGACGGATACATGATGGTCGTTTGAAGGACACTGGTGCTGATCCAGTTCCTTCATTTCCTTTGTGTTTGCATGTTAAAACGTGTCGTGGGAGCGTTTGTGTGAGAGGAGAAAACAGTCTTCATGCTCGTCTTGCTCCACCACTGTCTTCATAATGACATCAAAAAGATGTCGGGTGCCTTCAAGCTACGCTCACAGATGATGCCGGCAGCTTTTCATCAGCCACACTCAGAAACCTGAAACACCTCAAACTCTCCACCTGCAATCAGCTCCCTTTCTCCTGACCTTATGAGATGGTATGGATGCTCCCTGCAGGATGCAATCAGCTCAACTCTGTCCAACACAGAACAAAACAGAAGGAGGAGGCTGGGACTAACAGTGTGGTCCAGCCCTCCATGTTTGATGCAAAAGACTAGGGATGGTTGGGGATTTCTAAAAATACCAAAAAAAAAAAAAAAAATTTAAGTTGCATAATTATGGGATGGATTATGGTGTGAGATGGTCGTGCAAACATTTTTTTTTAGATGATGATGATGTCACCTGTCCCCTCAGCCTACGGCAGCCCATCTGTGTCATGATTACTGCATGATCACATCCTTCACTCGCATCCTCATCTGAATACACTGTGTTGCATGCGCAGTCATCATGAGCATTGCTAAGAATAGCGTTCACAAAGTAAAACTGTCTGAGAGAGTCTATTTTTAGGATTCATTTGCAGTGCTTTGTATCTTGCTCCCTTTACAATAAACACACACACATTTGCTGCCTTTATCTTCTCAATAGTTTTTTTTTTTCATCTAGAGAAGACATACTGTGCATATAATATCGTTTTTTTTCTAACTGTAGATTTATGTAGACACAAATAAACACAATCTCACCAGTGTCACTCATGCTGAGTCACTGAGTCTCTAACTCAACCCATTGGCACAGCAGCGGCACCTTTTTGCCTTTTCAAGGTAAAGCTGGAAGCACTCTGAATATTTTCATGGAATTTGACAACAATAAGAAAATTGTCCATAGAACCTACTAACAAACGTTGTTATACTTCTCCTGCTCTCTGTGTCGTGTTACTTCATTACCATCAACAGACATCGAATTCAACAGTCTCAGTCGTAGTGACCGGTTCAGTTCTGCACACACCATCCTGCTGCTTAACTGAGTCACTAGACCACCAAATGTGGATTCATCCGCTGCCTAAAATAGTCCCTGCAAATGCACCATTTTTGTGCATTGTAGGAACATTTTCAGAACTCTACCCTGGTCACATGTTTAAGAAATTACATAAAATAAATATATAAAACAACTTGTGACCAGCTCCACTGGTTTCCTCCTTCATTTTCATGGGTTTTTTTGTCTCAAAATGTAGACGATCACCAGTTTCCTTCTTTCTCTCTGAGACATATTGAAGGTGTTTGTGAATCGGGTGTTGTTACTGTTGAACTATGTGTAAACTAGAATGCCATTCAGGCCTCTTTGTGCATTCTTCTGGGTTTTGTTCTGACTTCTTTTGATATTTACTGTTGCATCCTATGAGAGGCAGTAGCTCTTATGGTCACGTTTCACTGAATTTCTCTTGAGGTCCAATAACATGACGGATGTGTATTAGGGTTTGTGGTCCTGCACATTTTGCACTTTGCATCAGCTTTTTGATATAATGTGCTCGACTTTTCAATTTGTTTTCTATCATTGCGTTCATTAGCATGCTCTGTTTTTCTGTGTTATATGCTTCAGTCATTTGTTTTTTTGTGATTCCATCTCTGTCCACTGTAGTCTGGCTCCAGATCTTTTTTTAGCTGCGTTAATCAAATTTTTTGCAAAGACAAGCTGTCTACCTGAATTACTAAATCTCTATACAGCAGCTGTAGTTTTATGTCTCGGTCAGACTGACAGAGATTTGGAGCCAGGTTGTTCCATCCCCATCCCCACCGATTGACACGCCCTGCTATGTGTTTCTAGGCTGAGGGGGCCCAGGAGACAACAGAGGGGAGTGGGACTC